ACAGCAGCGACTGCCTAAAAATCATGTGTTAATGGGATTAAAATTAAAATCATTAAATTCACCTGCATAACCCAGGTCGAATGATGCATAAAAATGTAGGAATCTTTGGATTCATCAAAATTCCAATAATACCCCGGAATGTGGAATATAAATCCACAACACGAGGTGTACTGTAAGATGGTAAAAACTAAAAAAAGTGATATATCGAAATTCGGACTTACCGGAAGGTATAATCGACAGAAAAACCAAAATTCCGCAAATGTGACGAATTTTTAGGTTCCGATAGTGTACGGGAAATGCTAGGGATGAGAAATGGATAGCGCTGAGGAGCGGGATTAGCATAAGCTGGAGGTACCATCGGGATAGTTGTAGAAAAGCACAAATTCCGACGAGCCATGGGGCTGAAAAATCTAATTGTAAAGGAGCCAGCAAGGCAAATCTACAGATTTTTTGTGTCGTCAGGAGGGGCCCGTAATCGATTACGAAATCAAATGAAAAACCGGGAGAGTTTAGGGTCAAAATGACCATTAATAGATTAATAGATAGGCCTATTTTGCATTAATAGGAGTCTGATTGGCCCAAAAAAAAACTCACGAAATACCTCCTCCTCGAACCATAGATCAATATAGTCATGTGGAAATCGACTGAATCGATCGAGGATATCGCTAATAATGAATATTCGAAGCAGAAAGAATACGGGAACGCTTCCCTTGGTAGCATGTAGTTTTACTACAATGAAAATATCGAATAATATTATAAATATGGCTATAGAAATATTAACCAGGTGGTAGAGGGTTAGATCACCGTGGATAGCTGCCATTTTTGTTCTTTTGAGTCTTTCAAATATTCCGTAAGTTTTTTAAGGCTAATCAAACGCCGGATACTGTAGTTAAATATTCGAACCGTCGAATAAAATGCTTTAGAGCTCTTCAAAAGTGGAGTAAAGTGGCAAGACAATTTGTAAAAGTTCAAAACGAGATTTTCGAGCTTTCCCAGCCCAAAAATGGTCTCTGACCTTCCCAGCTTGGATGTGAACGTGCGGCCCGAAATTACTCAACCAGCGAATAAGTTTTTTTTTCGTGTGAAAATCACAGTCTGGCTTCTTTTTCGTAAGCTTTGGCTAGGCTTAGTTTTCAAAAAGTGCTTTAAAACTGAGGGGTTGAGACGTGAATAGTGATGTTGCGGAAAATAAGGCGCAGACGCCGGAAATCGGTAAAGTTTCCTGTACTAACATTTTTGTCATGTTTCAAAGCGAATCCCGGGAAATTAGACATTTATTAGGTCCTTGAAACACTCCAAAAATCACCGGGAATCACTTGAAAATGTCAAAATTTTGTGCGAATCGACGACAAGTAGCCAATATATTTGGTATATTCTACGATGGTCGAGATCCATTGACACAAGGAGATGATGAAGCCGACTTTGCTTAAAAAGACCATGTTTTTAAATTTGAACATTTTCACCCCAAAAACCGTATTTTTTGAAACTCTTAATTTAATAAGCATTTAGGTTAAACAAATTGACTCATCTTTAAAAAAACTTTAGCTATAAAAAAAGCTAGAAAAACTTACTTGATCAACACATAAAATGAAACATTTGCCAGCCCAAATCCGACGCTAAAATATATGAAAGCAAATGCCAATTTGGTTTCCGGGGTGAAGCGCTAAAAACCCGGCATTAATAGTGCGTGAATATCTGTTTACCGTCCTCCGGCTCCTCGCCGCTTGCGGGTTAATAATATTGACTTGACTGCCAGCTCGCGTCACCGACGCTTCTGAAAAAACGACACGTTTCAAATTCGACAAAAAAAACTAGAACCCCCTAGAATCGACCCTTACAATGTAAATGATTTATTACTTTTATTACAACCCTATGGGTGTAAAGAGCTACGTTACACGCCCAAATACGCTTGCAAAACTTTGAGCTTTGCTTTCTCTGATTGCGTGTCTTCGGCTCGCGGATAGTTTTAACCTTTCATTTAGCATGCCATGTCCTGGTAACTGTCTAGACCTGCTAGTACCTCTAAGATTCCTTAAACTGCACGTTCAGGGACGTTTTTTTCCAAAAAGCAAAGATTTTCCCGCGGCCGGGGTCGAGCCCGCCCTCCCCCGCTCGGGAGGCGCGGATAGATGATACCAGTCAGCAGCAGCAACAGGCTCACTACGGGGTGATGGGCGCCCCACGCCGCAAAGGAGGGAAATTGCCTCCCACGACACGGGCAGGCAGTGCGCGCGGGCCCTACGTCCATAGGGTGTACACGTTGCGACGAGTACACGGCCCCTCCTTGAACGTGCGCTTTAAAAATTAAATTACCTCCGGATAAATTGGCGGTAATCGTCGGCGCCGACGCGAACTGTACGTTTTGACGATCCAGAGTTTTGGTTTGTCTGGCCACCCGTAGTTTGTAGATTAGATAAAGATCCGCGAGGATCAAAGAGGCCGCCGCAATTCCCTAAAATAATTCAAAACAGTGTTTTTCGCGTTTAAAAATCGTACCTGCAAAACCCAGGTGCTAATTTGCATGGCCATATACGAATCTTTCGTCTCGTCGAAATCCCAATAAAAATAAGGAATGTGAAAAATAAATCCACAACAGGCAGTGAATTGAACGATTGTATAAACTAAACTTTTTGTGCTGAAAATTCAAATTTCAACCCACCTGTCGGTAATATACATAGCACTAATATAACTCCAAGGATATGCACGCTTTTGAGATTACGGTAGCGGACCGGGAAGGCTAGGGATGAGAAGTGGATGAGGCTGAGTAGCGGGATAAGCATTAGCTGAAGGTACCATCGGAATAGCTGGAATATTGCGCAGATGTCGACGAGCGAGGGCGCTGAAAAATACTTTCAAGGGACGCGGAAGGGACAAACACCGATTTTTTTTTGGTCTTGGATCGCTGAGATATGATACTGCAATGCTTCTATTACTTATTCCCAGGCAAGGATCGTCATGCATTACTCAATGTAAAGCGCCTATCGTTGCATTGCTTTAATTGAGTTGCGCTGCATTGCGTTACGTTACCTTGCGTTACGCTACGTTACGTTGCGTTACGTTGCGTTACGTTACGTAGCGCTCCCTTATGCCACCTTTGCTTTGCGTTGCGTTTCGTTGTGTTACGATACTTTGCGTACGTAAGGAATGTCTTATCGCTTCACGTTGCTATTGCCTCTGTTGCGTAGCGCTACGTTGCGTTTGCTACGTTGCTACATTGCGTTGAGTTGCGTAGGCTATGTGGCGTTACGGTAGGGTTTGGACCGCAGCAACACATAACGCAAAGGCACGTTTCTAGCTCTCAAAAATATCGTAGTTCTGGTGTACTGGCAGCACTGTCGTGCAACACTAATTTGATAAATTCCATTAAAAATACCCGATACCTTTAAGCCCACTTACGAAGCACTTCCTCCTCAAACCATTCAGCCAAGTAGTCGTGCGGAAATCGTCCCAATTGATCAAAAACATCGCTAACAATAAATATTTTCAGCACCACAAAGACCGGGACGCTGCGCTTGTTGGAGCTGATCTTGGCAATCAGATACAGATCAAATACAATTATGCAAATTGCGATGACAATCTCGACGGCATCATAAATTGACAGCTGGCCGTGAAGTTCCATCTCGGTACTTTGGAAGGTAGATCAGAAAATGGCATAAAAAGGCTAATTTCCGGCGGCGTCGTGAGCTGTTTTTTTGGTAAAGGTCGAACGCGCTCGTTGAAATTTCAAGAGCTTACTGTAGCTACTGAAATTGTCCAGATTTTAGGGAACAACCCGACGATACGACATTTCAGCAACACCGCAGAACAGACTGCACATGCCAAATTAGCGTGTGAACGAGTGGGAGCCCCCGAATTTTTGGCTCATTTGCCGGCCCGGTGTAGCTTGTACTTGTAGCCCCCGCACCCACGCTAAGGGTGTGACCATTTATCTCAAAGATATCACAGTGGTACACTCAAAAGAGGCCAAAAAAACTGCAGATTGAGATCACATGGGAAAATCACTAGGCACCAGCGAGCGAATTTTTGGGGGCGACGTGCCGCGGAGGGATTTGGAAACGAAACTTAAAAATTAGAAAACTATTCAAGACGAAACATATTATCGAGGTATTTAATGCACATTGTGCATTAATGGAGCCATTTTTTACGGATTATAATGGTAAGTAAAAATGCTAGAAAAGGCTGATTGAGGTAGCCGTGAGCGTTTTGTAGTACGAACGCGCTCAGCCGAAACTGTCCAGATTTTGAACAACCCGATATGACATTCAAAGTAAACACCGCAGAATCGGTATCGCACATGCCAGCGTGAACGAGCGGGTTTCCCTGGAAACTTAATATTTCGTCGGCCCGGCGTGTTGTACAGCTCTCACCACGCAGGCGCCGCACCATTTATCTCAAAGACACACAGCGGTGTTGACCAAAGAGGCCGTGTCCGAGATTGAGATCACATGGTATCACTCGCTGGGGCGGAGGGAAACTTGTATCTCGTGTCGAAACCATTACGACGTCATGTCGGAGGCACGCACACAGCACAGGGCAAGTAAAAATGCCAGGCCCATCGTGAGCTGAGTCGGCGCATTGCACCAGATTTTTGTGGCACTCTGCTGTGGAATTCTGTTTAAGCCCTACTGGTCAGCCCACTGATGAGCACTCGTCGCAGCGCAGGCTTAACTGCCTGCACAACGATATCTACTGGATGGGAGATCAAAGGCTGCACTGAGGCCGACAGTCGTCCGTAAAACAGCCAGGCCCAGTATGAGTGCCATCATTCCAGTTGTCATCCACAGGTTCAGCCCATCAGTCACTGGCCATTATTTGTTTGTATTTGCGCGATACCATGTGCCCAGGTTTATTCCATGGTATGGTCCATCATGTTCAGTATTATGTCTGGGGTGCTTGAGTCCGAGTGAAACAGATTTGGGAGAATCGCCAGGCTCAGCCACTTTCAGTCACTACTTGTAGGCGTTACCTGAACCCTGAGGCAGCTGGAGTTTTTGCAAAGGGAAGCTTTGCATTACTGGCTCAGCCGTGAATCCATGGTAAGCGAAACTGAGCAAAAGGCACTTAATTTTTGTTATTTTTTAAACAATACTTCTGGCATTTCAAGCAATCTTAACCCTCGAAAACCTACCATCATGGGTGAGGCCCTGCTTCTTAATCCCAGCCGCCACTAGGCATCCAATCATTCCGATGAAGGATGCGATAAAGGTGAGGAGTCCTGAAAAAACACAAAAGTAAAATCAAGTTTTCTAAATATTCTAAAAATATTTTTTTTACTGCTAAAGCTTTAAAACAACAACGTAATCAGTAATAACGTACCAATCCAAAAGCTGGCCGTAAATTTCGCCGAGCTCCAGTGGAGCATCCAGTTCTTCTTGTACGCAATGTGCATGTAGCTGACGTAGGTGGCAAAACCCGCCGAGATGAAGGCCATAATGCAAGTAGAGACGTTCTAGAAGCAAATCACCTAAGGCCACAGTATTCTTGACTTACGTGGTATTGTCCGCCAAACATTGCCCCGGCCATTACCCCAGCGGTGATACCGATAATGGAGATCGTCAGGAGGACGTTAACGGAGCACATTTTCTGAAAACGCTTGGGTTTTACGTCTTAAACACGGGAATGGGAATTAAAAAGTATACAAGCATGGTATCAAAGTATCGAAATTTGCTTATTAGCATTTCCCTAATCACCGGATTTTTAATTTTTTTAGGGTTGGCGGGTTTCGAGTTTAGTCTCGAAATCCTTAAGTCCAGCAAAATACGATAAAATACATCGAAAAAAACGATTTTAATAGCTGCAGAAGCCCGCGTTAATGAAAAAGCAAAGTGTCGAATTACCAGATTAAAATATAATCATTAAGCTGAATAAAATCTCTTGCAATTCTGTCTAGAAAATTTTATCTTAATCTCTTATGAATTAATTTCAATAAAACAGGTATTTTATCGAGCTACTGCGCTACGGTAAGTTACAGTAATCTCACGAAGCGATAAAAACTAGTTTAAGACTCGAGTTTCAAAACGCGATAAATCTTCCGGATGTGATGGGGTGAAAGTGACATCCGCTCCAGAAGCGCTCGTCGTGTTCCCTGGCCATTTATGACAATTGGCAAGGTATTGGACCCATTTTCTATTCACCGGGGCTCTTATCGCCATCGCTGCGCTCAGTTTGCATCATATGGGCGTCTATGACCGCCGTGCAACAGGAATCAAGGAAGGGAGAACAAGGACGAATAATTATTTGTATTGCAGGGAGGGTGCTTTTTTTGTGGCGGTACTATAGAACTACGCGTTTTTGTATTCATTAAGGTATCCCGTAGGCAAGGGCATTATTTACTAATTCGTGGAAGCGTATTAGTATAACTTCGCATCTCGATAAAAGCTCTTTCAGTATGTCTGAATCGCAAGAAAATCACTGAATCAACATGAATGGCAAATCCGAATATGCGGGTCCGACATCAAACCAGCAGAGTTTTATGATTTGTTTCGACAATCTTCTCTCGAGCTGTCCATTTTTTGTATAATACACAGAGTGCCCCATTTCTTTTTTTTATAAACTTTTGTAAAATAGCGGATTGCAATAAAAGCATGGTTTTAAGTTTGTTGCAAATTCGCCATTTCAAGGGGGGTGGTTTTTTATTGAGACACCCTGTATTGCGTTTCTGATACAGAATTTAATAGCTAAAATGAGGGATTATTTGTTCGAATTATTTTATCCGCGTATGCCAGATTTCCGGGCACACATCGCCTGGTTAAATTCCTTTTATTATGCCACCCAAAATTCCACGCCACAACACGGACAGGGCACCTTGCCCTGAAATATGTCGTTGTACAGCTTGCGATACACGACCATGACCATCGATGACGTCACCAGAATGCCGAGGCCGAAACCCAAGTTGGACGCCGTGAAGTCGCCCATGATTGCCTCAAACATCATCGAAACGCCTTCGTTAAGGAAAAAGATCTGAAGTCAAAAAGTCTGATTTTTTTTGGCAAAAGTAAATTAATTGGAATGTGCTGTTTTAATAACTTACAAGGTAGATTGGCAACGCCCCGGATTGTAATCGAATTCTCTTCCAAAATCCGGTAACCGTGAGAAATATGCTCACGAGATACATACCAAAATAAGCCACTCTCTCTCTAAATTTTATGGCAGGTTAAAATATCTTTTGGAACTCACGCGATAGTGGCAATTAATAAAAGATGTGAATATTTTGCATTATATTTTCTAAACGGACTGGGTAATAAAATTTACATAAAAAATGTCCTACTTTTCATACTCATGATTCGTGTTGATAGCTGAACAAATGTTATACGCCAAAAACACGCAGGCGTGTATAGAAGTGAAAATAATGGCAAGTGTCTAAAGGTATCCGGCGCTAAGAGCAAAAAATCGATAATTTACCCATAACCTCCTCCTCCGCGTCCCAAATAAACGGCGTAATTGGGTGCCATCGAAGAGCATGACGGGAGCGCCGAAAGCTGGGTGTTATCAGAAAAGAAAGGCGCTCAATTTAAATCCTATTAACCCGGCCGGCTGATGACCGAATGAGTCGTGCAGCAGCGGTCGTGATTTTTAACGGTTTGTAGACCTGCAAGATGGTGAAGTTGTTTGTTTTGTTGTGGAAAACGGCTTTTTTTAGCGTTGAATTACGCAATTTTGTCTAAAAATCGCTGATTTTGGTTAGATCTTAATGAAAAAGAGCACTAAAAACATTTTGAAATTAGGGCGAAAATTTTATAAATTGACATAAATTACGAGCCAATGAAATATAATTAGAGGTTGTCATGATGTATATAAACGCTTAATGTGTATTTGACTAATAAGCGCTTCGCGGCAAAAAATCCATTTTTTAACATAGTAATTATTAATTCTTCGTGGCAAGCCACTTTCTATCGTAGGCTTATTAGGTATCTTTCAGGCCTATGTCCTCGATTTTAGTAGCTTTATTCAATCAATCCAAATATCAATCCCACAGCACGGACACGGCATTTTCCCGGTGAATATATCGATATGCAAAAGCCGGTAGGCGTAAAGTACCATCGCCGAGGTGACCATCAGACCGAACCCAAAACCCATATTTAAAGCTGGAAAATATCCCATTATCCCTTGGAATATCATCGTCACACATTCGTTGAGGAAGAAGATCTAAAATGCCATTTTCTAATTTTTTTCGAAAAACTTCAAAAATCACGTTGAAAATTAGACTAAAAACCCATAAAGCGGCCAAACTTACGATGTAAATCGGTAATGCGCTCGATTTGAGACGGATCCGCTTTCGAAAACCGACAAAAGTGAGAAATATACTGACAAGATACATTCCAAAATACGCCATTCGCTCACTGAATTTTTTTATATAGAATTTTAGCCTTTGTAAGCTTACAATATACTCGCAATTAACAGTATTGAGGTGTAGTTTGTAGCATACTGTCTAAAAACATCAAAATAAAAAATTGAACCCTGCTTTTTGTAAATCACAAAATTAATGATGACTCACTTTTTGTAATCTGAATTTGACGTCACGTCGGAATAAATGTTATACGTTAGTAAAGTAGAAGCGTGAATAAACGTAGAAACAGCAGCCCATGCCTAAAAATGTGGCTTAAAAACTTTCAATAAATATTTTACCCATAATTTTCGTCTCCTTGAGCCAAATAAGTGGCGTAATCGATTAGGGAATGGCATCCGGGACCCGGTGGAACAGACGTTATCGCCAAACTTCGCGCTTTTTAAATACTATTAAGCCGTTTCGACGGGGTGTTGAATGCCGAAGTTAGTATTCTAGCGGAAATTACAAAATTATACCTTAAAAATCAATTTTTGGCATGTATTTAACCTCCAAAAATCAATAAAACAATTTATTCCTGTATCTACAGAAAGGCCACGCAAGAATCAGCATAAGTAGCACAAAAAACACACATTTTTAAAGCTCAAATCAAAACGCAAAAATTCATATAACGATTAATGTATACAATTTCAAAAATTTTTATCTCCTCGTCGCCCCGCATTTCCGATAGTCGAACGGGCCGCTCCAGAAAATGTTTTGGTAGTGCATGCACTTTTCGGCCGATTTTTCAAAGTGGTCGTTGAGACGGAGGATGTAGTGAGCACTAAAAAAAATTAAAGAAATCGTATGGTAAAATTTGAAATTACGCCGCATCACTATCGACAGCCACGTCTGCGATGTCGCCAATTAAGAAATAGGTTTCGCCTTTTTGTAAATCGGTGGATTTGAGGCAGCCAATGTTACAATCACGAAGCCAGACGTTGATTACGTTATCTAAACGGGGGGTTTTTAGCTCTTTCACTCTCTCTCCCTCTCCCTCTCTCTTTCTCTCTCCCTTACTTTCTCTCTCACCCCCCACCCCTCTCAACCCCTCTCTATTTCTCCCTGTCTCTCTCACACTCTCTCTCGCTCTCTCTATCTCACTCTCTCTCTCTCTCGCTCTCTCTCTTTCTCACCTTCTCTCTATTCTTACCTTTCAATTGTAGCTGCCGCTCTTCCCGTACCAATTTCTTCAATACCTTCATTTTATAAACAGTGTATGCAACGTGCTGAGATCCAGAAGCCACCGTTTCGTGTCGCTTCTCGGTAAGCTCCCCAAAGAGTCCTGAAATATTAATGGATCCTGGTAGTCCGCAACAACCGTTAAAGCGTACCAAAAGCACCCTGCTTGCACAGCTCCTTCTTGACGGTCAACTGCGTCGAGCGACCGCAAGAATTACAGTTTACAACGCAGGTACTCTCTGTACATAGGCATTGGTCGCCGCTAGAAATGCTTCTTGAAGTCTATAGGCCTCTACTTACGTGAAACAAACAGACTCTATCGTCTCGTCAATGGCTGATCGTATGGTTCGTCGTTTAGAGGCCTGAAAACAACATCAGAAGCTCTTCTTTAATACCAGCCGCTTCCAGCGGGTTCGCCGCTGCAAGCGGCTGGACTTCGGGCTATCCCTTGTGCGCCCTCCCCCTGGCCGAAACGCGCGCGACCTGGATCACTAGTCCGAAATCGGTCAAACCTCCGTACCCGCCTATTACTAAGGAAAAACTTTCAAAGTTAATTTTACTAATTGAAACTAAAGCTTTTTCATAATTTTTTATCCGTTTTGGGGGTTTCCGACCACGCTCTATCCGAATCCCAAGAGACCTAAACTCTAGCTCCTTTCCCCTTCGAGTTGAATCCGGGACCGGACAGACGGAACGGACATCATGTCAAAATTATTATAGTAGATATCAGCGGGGGAGGAGCCGCTTCGCGACTCTCCCCCGCTGGAACCCGTCTAGGCACTATGAATTGGTCGCCTTTTTTAATCCCACTACTCAGAGCACAGGGTTTCCTCGGCCTCTTTTTGTACCAATAATCAGTCGTTGTGGAAAAATAGTTTTGTCCTCTTTTTTTCGGCCTGCGGCGCAAGCTTGAGCGGCTAGCTGGCTTCAAAGCCTGCGGCGCTAGCTTGAGCGGTTAGCTTCGTTTCAAAGTCTGCGGCGCTAGCTTGAGCGGTTAGCTTCGTTTCAAAGCCTGCGGCGCTAGCTTGAGCGGTTAGCTTCGTTTCAAAGCCTGCGGCGCTAGCTTGAGCGATTAGCTTCGTTTCAAAGCCTGCGGCGCTAGCTTGAGCGATTAGCTTCGTTTCAAAGCCTGCGGCGCTAGCTTGAGCGGTTAGCTTCGTTTCAAAGCCTGCGGCGCTAGCTTGAGCGATTAGCTTCGTTCCAAAAGCCTGCGGCGCTAAGCTTGAGCGGTTAGCTTCGTTCCAAAGCCTGCGGCGCAAGCTTGAGCGGTTAGCTTCGTTTCAAAGCCTGCGGCGCTAGCTTGAGCGGTTAGCTTCGTTCCAAAGCCTGCGGCGCTAGCTTGAGCGGTTAGCTTCGTTCCAAAGCCTGCGGCGCAAGCTTGAGCGGTTAGCTTCGTTTCAAAGCCTGCGGCGCTAGCTTGTGCGGCTAGCTTCGTGCCAAAGCCTGCGGCGCTAGCTTCCCGGGCTAACTTGGTTCTAAAGCCAAGCGGCGCAAAATTTAGCGGCCTTCTCCTTTTATAAGCCTGCGGCGTAAGCTTGAGGGGTCAAGCTGGGTTTATTAGCCTGTGGCGCAGTTTTGAGCAACCAAGTGCATAATAACGCCTCGATACACTGAAATCCAGTCGAAAACCTACTTTCGAAGCAAAAAGCAAAAAGCAAAAGAACACCCATGGCCGGGGATTGAACCTCCGATGGGTAGATTGGCACGCCGAATCGCTAATCACTACACCATGTAATGCTTGGCAGCACGCGCCAAACACCCCCTTTTATGTCTCAAGGGGGCAGGGGAAGGAAAGGGATCAAGAGTCAGATCCAAAGAGACGACCAAACTCGCGAGTGCAACTGGCAAGAATGAGGAAATTTGTATTTTTTCACATTATGCAAATTAACCCTCGCGCACCCCCAAAAATGAATAAAACCGGCTTTAACTTTGTAAACTTGTATTTTATCGGGATTCTGAAAACGCCATCGGAAAGAGGAGGGTCGATTCCCTTGGGTGACGGAGAATTAGGGCATTTTGGACACGGGAAGGCCCTCAAATCGGGCCACGAAAGTGACATCCACACACACACACACAAAGATACGCTACCAAATTATATAAGGTAGGATATTACGTTCAATGAAGACGCTTTGACTCGAAAGAAAAGAAGAAAGCCGTCAACATTACCTTGTGGTGCAAATGCACAGCCAACGCTGAGCTTCTCTTTTTTCGTTGGAAATTGCGGGCATCTGGATGCGAGATGAGGGTTTGGCCGACGATGTCTAAATAGCAAAAGTTTTAGCGCTCTTTCGAAGTGTTGCTCACCATTCACCGGATGTCGACAACTCATCTCAACCGGGGCCAGCGAGTCGGGCTCATGCGCGTAGCTTGGCGGAAATTGCGCGACCTGAAAAAGGAGACCCTCAATCAAGTCTCGATATCACCCGTTAGAATACGGAAAGCAGTGGTACTCTGGGTTACCCGACGCTACGCTATGCTGCTCCATACGATGTGACACGTTACGGTGTGAGGCAGTACAACACCATACGAAATGTTACAATACGCTACGATGTATTACGTTCAGAAACGATACGATACGCTACGATACGCTACGATAAACCATTTACCGAGTAGCAAGCTGGTACGTGGGTTTGATTCAGAAAAACGACCATATGCACCGCGTAGGAAGAGATGGTTGGCGGGTTCAGGATTTGTAGCTCGTGCTCCTAGTCAAAGCTTTGAAAAAAACGCCCCCTCTTACCGGATTGATCTGAATTTTGTCCGTGTAGGTCGAGAAGCCTGTGAAAAGGCCGTGGACAACTTCAAAGGTTCTGATGAGCGGGGAGAAGGTGCTGAAAAATTTTATCGTTGGTGTCTGCGCATTAAAGAAATTATTTTTGGCTAGACGTCGCCGTAAAGGGCAAAAATTCAGCAAGAAAACCCTCAAAAATAACCTTATGCAAACAGTTTGCAACAAGATATCCCTGGATTGCTTCTGTTGCTCCACCGTAATTTTTAGAGGGTATAACGAATCAGTTAACTGACGACGATTTCGTTGGCGCTACAAAGTATAGAAGTTTATTAACTAGAGACTTTTATTACCTTATCAGCAAGTATTCTTATTCCTGTCTTCACCTTTCCAAAGCCCCTGGTGGTGATGGTGAAGTTTCGGATCTTGTTTGGCAGCTAAAAAGAGCATGGTTTTGTAAATCTTTATATAATTTAACTTACATAAACAAGTAGTGGGACGTCGGTCACGTTATAGACTTTACGGCCGATATCCCGGGAGTAGACCTCGAGGACCGGGTTTTCATTTAGCTGCGGGATGGCCACTTTTCGAAGGCGGTACTCGAAGAGGGCACGGGAGGCGAAGTAGGTGTCCTAAAAGTAGAAAAATTTATCAAGAACTGCAAAAGTCAAAAATTGGCACTCAAAAGCCGAATATTTTTCGAACCTTTACAAACTTTTTACTTCTAACCTTTCCAAGTGAGCTAGCAGGGGTATTTTGGAAGCATTGCCTACAGGGAAGCTAGCAGAGCTCATTTGGAAAAACGTTTAGAATTTGTTGGTATTGTTTTGGGTGGGGCAGGCTGGCAGAGATCATTTCGGAACCTTCGACAAAACGCGAGCCAGCCGAGCCAATTTTTAAGCCTTATTTTGGGCATTCTAGCAGAGTTTCTTAGACCTCCCAGGCCACAGGCAAGCTAGCAGAGACTTCTTACTAAGCCAGTAGCCATCATGTTCACAACCCCTCCTTACCAAAGCGTTCTCATAGGTCTCATCGTCCTTCTTCTGCTCGTAAATCCAATCGGCGAGTGCGTCGAATTCAAGAATCGAAGGCACCACAACGCCCCTTCCAACAAATGCCAAAATTCCTAGCGCGTTTGCCAGCACGTCTCCACTCTACAAAATTCAGAATCACGTCAAGCTCTCCCTAAATATGGATACCTTTACCCCCTTCAGATTAAAGAATTCTTGATGGCCATTTTGAAGTCGATCCGGGGTGTTGACATTTCTTTCACCCGCCGTCCAATATGGGAAAACGCCCTCTGAATTCTTTCGTGGGACGGTGGAAATTAATTTTTACCGCGAATCGACGCGTTAAGGGTCTGGCGCAAGACGTTGTTTGTAGCATTCGTAGCTAGATAAGCTAGGGCGGCCTTGGTCCTGGTATCGGTAAGATCTCCCTCTTCAAAATCGTAGAAATATTCGTACAATCGACTCCAAGCTGTATCATTTTTCTAAAAAAAACAAGATTTATTGGTTTAAAATAAAAAAATCACGTAAAGCATTTTGGACTCACTACGCAAGTGTACGCAGCGCAATCGGAAGAAATATGTAGTAAAAGACCACGGAGGAACCAGGAACGATCTCGGGGATTCTTAAAAAAATAGCTTTACGGGGCTACAGTAACACATACAATATCGGCCATCCCATTGAAGTTGATGAAATTGTTGCTCTCGTTTTCGGCAAAATCTCCGAGCATGACTGAGTGGAGATATCTTAATCCGCCACAGACCAAATTCTCATCTGCCATCGCTTCGCAGAGGAGTGAGGTGGAAATTGCTGTTAATCTGAAGAAATGGCTTGGAAACGGGTTTTGATGGCTACAGATTCCGTGTTGTTTGTTTTGCAGCATCACCGCAACGTGCGCAACTTTAAAACTCGTGTGCGTTACGTGTCGCGGTCGAACGACAATCCCAAGATTTTGAGCCGCTTTTGAGCTATTGGAGCTTGAGAGCTATACGATTTTGCCTAGTAGTTTTACGGCACCTCTAATGCGTAAGTACGCAAAAATTACTGCTTACACAGGCGATCGATCCACTGGAGACACCGGACGTCCATATTCTGAATACCCACAACTTTCCTGCCCATTACAGTCCGAAAATCGCAGCATGTCGGCTATTACTAAAAGGTATGATCACTTGGATACCTGCAAACGGTGAAAAAATCAGAATCATTCAATTACTTACAAGCCCCAATGCTATTCTCCAGCGACGACGTCACCGCATCGTCTTGACGATACACCGTTTTGAGCAGCTTGAATTTGTAAAGCTCCACCGATAACCTTTTGACGGCGTCGCTCAGAAATGCGTTACCGTAGTCGACAATCCCTGTAAAAAGTGAGATAACGTGTTTCTCTCTTTTTCTCTGGCTCTCTCTTTCTTTCATTCTCTTCTCTCTCTTCCACCTCTTTTTCTCCTGGCACTCTCAATCGTCGGTAGTTCATTGCTGTACTCGATTTGGGTTATGGTAGTCGGGAGGAATCCTAAAGGACACTTTTTAGTCTAAGGCCTGGTTACCATACTCGAAATTTCGATGGCCACGCTGTGGACGGCCGTGGTGTCTGGCAGGTGGCATTTTACATCTGCTACCATGGCATTTTCATGCGGGAGTCGGTATTCGTTGATTTCTAAAAATTAGCTTTCACTACTTTCTCTCTCTCTCTATCTCTCTCTCTCTCTCGCTCTCACCAAAAACATGTCGTATCGGCTCCTCATCCGTCCTCAACTCGTTCAGGGCGTCATTAAGAGCAGCACTAACTGGCTTCTCGACGGAGAGAATCAGCCTCCGGTAGTGCTCCTCGGTCTCTGCTCTTTTCTATAGTGACATTTGTCTGTTTTTAGGGATTTCCCTTACCGCCACCATCATCTTGTGCTCAATAATGTCCAACACCTCTCCATTATCGCATCGGCTAACTTCTCCTGGCATGAACAGCTCGGTTCTGAGCATAAAGGTCAGCTTCACTTCGCCGGTCTTGAAGAAACGCATGCTGGAAAAGAGTGCTATCACCAACGAGAGAAAAAGAGAGAGGGAGAGAGGGAGAGAGGGAGAGAGAATGAGAGAGAACGAGAGTGGGAGCGAAAGAGTGAGAGAGAGAAAGTCTGGGAGAGAGAGAGCCAGAGAGAGCGAGAGAGCGCGAGAAAGAGAGCGAGAGTGAGAGAGTGAGAGAGCAAGTGTGTAGGAGTAAAAGAAAGAGCTTTTTGCTTTATTGTGGTTAAGGTATTGGATAAAAGTATTACTTAAACGTCTTGATGGCGACCGGATTCTCTTTGTTCAAAATAATCCTTGAATACGCCGGCTGCCCATGCGTCCCTTCTTGCCCCATATCCGCGCAAACCTGGCGCGGCAGATCGCTGTGGCAAACGGAGAGCTAAAAATTGAGTTAAACAAGCAAATTACCACGATTAACACATACACATCACAACGTGTCATAACCTTTTGGTAAACGTAAGCCCTTCTACCTTATGCTCCTGGTCCAAATTCGTACCCGTGGCCGTCACCTTGACCGTAATCGACTCGTTAACGTACACGTTTTTCGGCATGTCGACCTAAAAGAAATATAGACGAGCTCAATTCAGGGATATACCTCCAAGAAAAACGCTTTCGTGGAAGTGACAAATTTTGTGGTCGCCGCACAAAACGAGAATTCCTCCGGCCACCAATATTCCGACTGGATCACCCAACGACCGACCGAATGAGGTGCGTCTCGGGTCACGGCTGTCATGCCGGTGTTTCTGAACTCGGTGATTGTATTTTAGAGCATAGAAAAGGTAAAATTCTTCATTTAACGAAATTGTTGATTTAATGATTCCTTATTTTTAGGAATTGTCCTTATTTTTTGTTTTATTTGGCTAACAAAATTGTTTAGGGCGGCGGGCGAATCAGCGAGGGAAGGCAGGCAAGCAGAGGTTCTTAAAGGGGCTGGGAAGTCAAAATTCGCGCTTTCGGGAATTGAACTTACTGATCAAAAAACGAAAGTATTGCCGCCCGGCAGTGCCAGAAAATTGATTTTGTCGCGAAAAAACGCAAAATGTTTGAGAAAAACCGAAATGTTTTCGGGCCGAAAACGACTTTTTGGGTGCGCGGCGATTACATGTCGTAATGCCTTGTAAGGCACCCAATCTCTCGATTTCGGTGATTCTCTGATCAATTTTCATAATTAAACCAGCTAGAATCATCGAAATTGCGTGAGGATTCCAGAAATAGCATCAGAATTTTGAAATTCCTGCGTTTTCCCTTCCAGACAAGGACTAGAGAACATGCGATGCGGTCGCGTTGCGGCCGAATCTGGCTATTTACTAGAAATCAACGCAGGGGCCGTGGACCAGATTTCGGAGCCCCTTCAAGGAAAAAAATAGCGGCCGCGGTTTTCCTTACGTAGCGCACTGGCTGGGCACGTTGCGTGGCGCGCTCTTATCCAGAAAAAAGGATCTACAATTACCCCTGGCCATTCCCTTCAATTTACGAATGATCCTTACCCCAAATAAAACGAGTCGAAGATCCAAACATGCGGGAAGTACGATCGGGTAAATGCCACCTCATCTGAGGGCAAAATTGGTGGGACGTGCTCGAAATCGTCCATGTACGGCAGTGGGCGAGTTTTCAGAACTGCTGTCGTCCTAAAAATTAAACTTTAATGTCGTTTTTGTCGGAAACATTAGAAAGCCAGGCAATGAAACTCGATAATATAGAAAAGCACGCCAAAATCCATTCCACTTACTTTATTTTTCCCGGTTTTCTGGAAAGGGATTTGTATTTTTGCTCATTTCTAAAACGATCAATGCAAAAATAACGACTAAAAGTTCGCAAAAAATAATTTGCAGCTTTTTTGACAATAGAACTAAATTTTAGGGAAAAAAAATCCCGCCAGTAAAATTAGATAAAGAATTTTTAAGAATCTGAATATGGTCAGCAAAAGTGTTTTTACATTAATTCAATTCCACTTCACACCAATCCACACAATAACCCTACCTGGCGTCTGGAACCTTGATGTTTCTATAAAATCCAATTATTTCGAAAACTGACATTGGAAAAGCGAAGCCGGCGGGGAAATCTTGAGAAGTTTCGACTTTCTCGGCTTTTCTAAAGTTTTCCGGTTTCGACTCGGACCTGCAGTTGGCGTTCCGGTCGCAGACGCGTTCTGAAAAATGGAAGTTAGCCTGCAGACGACAACCTACAGGCTACAGACCACAAGATTCAGACTCCAGACTACAGGCGACAGGCTATAAGCTACAACGCTCAGGCTAAAGACTACAAGCTACACACGGCTCACTAGAGGCGACAAGATACACGGTATCCCTGAAAAACATCAAGCTACATGCCGTCAACTATAGACTACAAGCTACAGACTACATAATAAAAACTGTAAGCTACAAACTACCAGCTGGTATGTAAGCCAGAGCCTATAGGCTAGACCCGCAAGCCACGTGCTGTAAGCGACAGACTACATACTACATAGGCTTCAGGATGTGAGCTAGACTACAAGCTACAAGCCACAAGGTATGAACTACAAGCGACATACTACAATGTGGTGGATACTCATGCCACATATTAAACGCTATAAACTGCAAACTACCAGCTACAACTCACGCAGAGTGATGTTCGAACGACAATTCGTCGTGATTTGCTGCATACACAAATCCGACACTGCCGATGTCGAGGCTTTCCCCTGTGGACACTGCCCGCCAAGGTCCGAGTTTTTGAAGTATGGCCCGGCGGTTGCGCAGTTGTGGACTAAAAACTAGCATGTTCGTTTCTTGAAAATTTACTTACTGATCGCCTCCTTGATCGCCTTGTTCTTGATGAGGTTGAAGATGCGGAGCTGTTCCTCGACCTGGTAGTTCCGGGCGAAGAAAAGGCCTTCCCAGAGTTTGGGCAGCGGTTTTTGCTCTTCCTTAAGGTATAATTTCATGAGCAAATTTTTTAGATTATTTTTTTAATCACTTCCTTGTTTTAGAAACTTTAAAATGCATCGGACTCTAGAAATCTAGAAACCAAGCAAAAATCGACGATCCTTGCTCACGTAAAATGTTCGAATGGCATGGCTGGGAAAGGCAAACTTCAAAAAATTGACAGTACCTCCGAGGTCAGAAATTATTCGAGTTTTTATAGAAACTATTAAACTTGTATTTTTAAGATTGCTACCAATTTTCTACCTCCATAATTTTTGCAATCTTCTCGTCCAGCGTCCGAACTATCGCATATCCCTTCGGCTTCCCGTTCAACGTCATCGTTATCGATTGCCCGGGCTTGACCTCAGATTTTGAAGGTGTCGTGTAGATTCCCTAAAGCTTCTCGTTGCTCAAAAGTTTTTTTGATGAATGCCCGAGAAGCATTGATATCATGTGTAAAAACGTAAAAGTGCGTTTCGCTCAAAAATTAACCCACCGAGCACTGATCATTAACGAAAAACATCAACATATCAACTTGTCGAGTCCTAACGCTATACAGGTAGAGGACACATTGCCCGAGCATGCGACGCGATACTACGAACGTGATGAACGTCAACGGATCGACTTTTGCCGATCGGCTTAGCTCATTTCCGTTGCAGACCACCTGAAATCGACTGGCGGTGATAAATCAGTTTTATTAGCTATGTCCCCACGGGATTCGATCCCGGTGTTCGTTTCGTTGGTTTTGGAACGATGTCACTCAGCATTTTTAACACAGATCCTTAAAGATCCGCCGAGATTAACATTTCTCTCACATTTTTCGACTAAACCACGAGCGCCCAGATTTTTCCCAAATTTCAACCGCAGTACCCCGGTTCCGATCAGGTTCATTCTAGACTTTTCAAAACTTGCTGGCAATCCAAAGTAAATCGCGTGGTCGTTTATAGCACTTATACCCACGAAATGACCTTGATGGCAATTTTTGTATCTTTTAAACCTCTAAGAAAGAAGCGATCCGCTTTACATCCCCTTCCAAGTAATACGTACTTATCAACGAGCTGTCCGGTAGATTTTATGGTTTTAAAAATCATCGAGCTCGGTCGCGATTAGCATTGTATCAGCGAAACTTTGTAAAGAGTTACATTATCAATGTATTGACCATAGATCGTTGTGTAAAAATACCTTGTGGCCCCCTTGAAAAGACCCACCTTTCTCTAATCCTATTTCAACGTCCTTCTACCATGAATGTCATCCCCGATTTTTGACCACTCACAAAAATATATAACCCCGGTTATCCCATTTCCCCAAATTGTTATGGGCATTTAGAACTCGTTTCGGCGGGGGTCATTTTGCAAGGGGGCAAAAGCACCCCTCCCGACCTGTGCCATATGGCGAGCCGAAAAACGACTCTAAACGGCAAGGGTTCTCGGGGGGGGGATAGGCCAACACGCTGAAAAATGGCTGCATTTTAGGAATTTGTGTGCAGATAGGCTTTGTTTAAAGGGATGGGCAAAGTAATAGATTTTCTATAGATTGTTCCGCGGTCGCTGCACGCGCTTCAAATTCCATGGCGTAACCGATTACGACTTTTTACGTTGGAAAAACTCTTTTGCAATATATCCACATGCTGAAATGCAGAGCCGCAAATTCTATAGACAGCCTTTTAATGGCCATTTAATAAATTCTAAAGCGGTAGACTCTCAATGCACTAAAGTCTTGACCTGCTGAATCAACACTAATTCATAGTTTTCTGCTCAATAATTTGCAGGTAAGAACTCCCGTTGGGATAGCACTTTTTACGCTTTCTCTCTCTCTCTCTCTCTCTCTCGCATTTTCCTACCTATTAGGCTCGCCTTACTGTGCAAACAGAAACTTTATTTGCCAAAACGTTTCGAGGCTTGTGACGGCCTGTCAACCAGGGGGATATTGCCCAAAAACTGTACGGGAACTTTATCTTTGGAGTTTTAAGAATATCAAAGCAGACCTTAAGCCCCGTTTTTGCAGTTTGTATGCTTTGACTGGCCCCTAAAAATATTTTGGGAAAACTACGACGCTTTCTACATTAAAAACAATTTGCCCCATAAATTTCACGAATTTTTCTGGATCTGATTTCTGATTTAAAATACTTCTGGTCGCTTTAAAAACAGCACCTGGTACAAGATGCCGTATAAAGCCCGCTCAGCCCCTTGTTTATACGTATCAATCCTTCTTACACCCCCGTGCAATCACTTCCATATTCATTTTTCTGTGTGTAGGTCAAAAATGCTAAGCCTGCGAAAATTGGGTGGGGGACCGCCTGATTTTGCTGCATTTTTTTATTAATCCGAGGCGCCGGTGTTGGCGCAATATAACCCATTCATACCCCCAAATATATAAGGCTGGGAATTTATTGTTATCGCAATTCTTGGGAATATTCGGGATTTGAATATCAATTTTTGCTTGGAAATGTGCGAAAATAATAAGATTTACTAGCAAAAATAGGGCAGATATACTGTAGTATTAATTTTCTGGTGTTTTCAAAGCCATTCTGGCTCTCATTGATGCATAGACAGGACGGAAATTGATACCAGATGCTTGAGGGTAGTTCCTTTTCTCATTTTTTTACGCTTTTCCCAGGATTTTTTGCATAATTTCCAAATTTTTCGAATAGATTTGAGCTTATTATATATATAAAAAATTGTAGCTGAAAATACTTACCACATAATTATACGAATCATCGTCCAAATCGATATTCGTCTTGATCGCTACCGTCTGCCCCACCGAGTACACCGCAGAATAATTGGCCGGCGATAGGAGCGTAAAGTTCAGCCCAGAACTGCCGGCTGTTGCGTCCACGTTTGGTATCATTAACACCCTTTCCCGGGATTTTACGCCGTTGTTGAGGATGCGGTACCACTAGAAAAAGCCTTAACTTAATAGTTGTAGAAAATACCTTTAACCTCACAACATTGCATTGCTGTGTCCAATTACTCGGCAGGTTTATGCTAATCGTATCACCGACTCTAAAATCCATTTTTATGAAACTTCCTAGCATTTTATAAGCTGTTTTTGATCCCTTTTAAGGTGCTGAATTAGCCTCGATTAGCGTAGAAACAGTATCAGGTTTTAGTCGGAGCATCTTTACAAGTAAACAGCTGCCCTCACCTAACAACTTCAGCCAAAGTCTGTCTTCTCAAATTCCGCTCCCCTCCGATGCACCGTAGCTCAAGCTCACCGTCGGAGGCTGAGTGATTTGGGTCCTGGAACGCAAATTTTAAACAAAGCCTTCGGACTTTTCTAATTGTCTGAAACTTGCCATATTACTATTTTGATATTAGTTCCAGGGGGATCCGTAACGACACCTTTCCTATCCCTTTAAAGGCACGATACCAACGCCCCTCACGCACGTAATTTGAGTCTAGACCGTCGCTTTTTTCGGTTCTCATTTCCTGCTTCATCTCTGCAAATCCATTCCACGCGGCAATTCCACAACCCCAAGCAAAGCAAAAACCAACTCGCCGCCCAAGGAATATTACCTCGTCCCAGAAAAGCGCAATCAGCCAAAAGCACTCGTTCCCCCCTCCAGGCGTGCGTGGCCGATTTTATGCCACGGAATTTCCCCGTTCTGGAGCCTCATAAATGGGCTGGGTCTTAGGTGGGCCATTCCCGAAAGCCTTCCATCCAGGACTCGTGGTGGCCAGTAGGAGCACCTTCGGAAGGCATTCTTTAGGGAACGGGGTGCACCTGGGTCTTGGCACGTTGCCAAAAGTCGTTCAGAAGACAAAGCCAGTCATTTTTCTTCTTGAGAGGACGCTTGGAAACATTTTTCATTGTCTCGTCTGGGGTTATTCACGCGTAAAGATGTATTTTTTTCTCTTCCTCTGTCGGTTTGACTCATTCTCTCGTTCCCTCTGTCTCTCTCTCTCTCTATCTCTCTCTTTTTCTCGCTCTTTTTCTCGCTCTTTCTCCCTCTCTTCCTCTAGCTTTTCCAGTCTTCAATCTTTTGCAGCAAAACAAGTACAAAATGTTTTGAATGGCTAGACCCAATTTTGGCAGCTTATCCATGATTAGCTCTATGGGATCGGCTCCACTTAAAATTGAGCCATCCGCGGCAATGTACGCATTTTCAGATTTTTTGAATTGGAGGTTCTGAAAAATGTACTTTTCCCGGCTACAACTTTTAGTTGTTTTGAGAAATTGAGGGTATTTTTAGGTGTGATTTTGCACTTTAATGGGCTGCTCTCTCTCTCTCAAATTTCTAACAGGACATTATATCAACCCGAAAATCCCGACAATATCTCACCCATCTTCTACCAGATTCTCCCCCAAGCAACCCGCCCCCACGCGCTTTTGAACCCCAGATTTATGAGCCCGAAAACCAGGGGATCCCCCGAGAGCTGACCACCTACTACTTCCTCGAATTTCCGGCTGCTCCGCTTCCTCGAACCCCCGATTTGAACATGCATGAAATTGGGGGCTTTCGGTTTGACAGCTGCGAAAACAGGCTTGCGTAGTGTTTATGTGTAAAATAGGGTACCTGAAAAGCGGCTAGGTGAAGATTTCGGGTTCCGGCGGAGAAGGCTGGCTTGAGGGGGACGAGTTGGTAGCCGGTAGACATTGGGTCATGACTGTAAATGTTGTATTTAACCTAAAATAATGTTATCTCACTAATTTATTGCTCTCCCTCTCTCTCTGTCTCGCTCTCTATCTATCTCTCTCTCTCTCTCTCTCTCTCTCTCTCTCTTTCTCTCTTTCTCGCTCTCTCCTTCTCTCGGTATTAAGGTATGGTATGAAAGGTAGCAAGCAATTTACATGGAGAGGCCGCTATATACAGCGATAGAAAGGGAGAGAGAGAGAGAGCGAAAGAGAGCGAAAGTGTGAGCGAGAGACAGATGGAGAGAGATGCCCTAGCGAGAAAGAAAGCTATAAAGTGAGGGGCCTAGCGAGAGAGAGAGAGAGAGAGAGAGAGAGAGAGAGAGAGAGAGAGAGTCAGAGAGAGAGGGAAAAATGCACCTTGAACTGCTGCACTTTTGTCGTTATTTTCAGTTCCGCTGATTCCTTTTTCAATTTCTGCCGCTTCCATTTTCAAGCATTTTTGCAAAAGTCCTGTGTTTTTTTTGAACCCTGCCCCTAATCTAAAATGCAATCACATCCAGTTTAATTCCGCACGGCCCTATATCGCTTGCTATTTGTGGACGCGCCCCCCAAAACAATGATACCGTATCTGCGCGGAGCCCTTCTTCCCGGTGCCCTGGTCCCTGACCTCGACGACTAGATTTGTAACGGCTAAAATGTCGAAAATTCCTGTGGTAAGAGCAATGCAAACTTGTCTGGTCGTTGAAGCATCGGCTGATATCTACCGTATCCGTCCATTTGCCTTCGGAGAGCTGAAAATTGAGGGCTTCTATCAGTTTTTAACATTTTCAGCGATACTATGGTATTTTTAAAGGGCCGGTGAAGACATGGCTCCATGGAAAATTGATTCACTAATGATTTTCGGCGATCTCGGCTGTATTTTGCTGTCGGTTTTTATTTTTTCAACTTTGGGGTTTAATATTTGCGGCTTCATGGGTCCTAATCGATTACGCAACCTATTTCCAAACGTAATGTCGATATTTTTGGTATTTCCAATCGTATATTTTCTGTATTTTTAGCACTATTTCACAAGAATCCCTCTTTAAAACCCATTGCCAAAAATCTGCCTCCCCAAGAATATTGCTCATTCCGGAAAAAGCAAGAGCAGGTGCTGGAATATTAAATGCCATTTCTGAATGTTTAATGCCGGTGTTTCCCTTTCCGTACCGCAAACTCAACTCGTTTCATGTGTAACGGCACGTACTCGATATTTTAAATCTTTAGCTTTTGATTTTCAAATACGAGCAACCTACAAAACAACCCGTGATCCCCGTGACTTCCCCGCTAATTGATGAGGGGCACTTTGAGTCAAATTTCCTGTTTTCTTTGGGTGGGGCAGACCCCAGAAAAGTACCGTAGTGTAGCCCTGTTGTTTGTAGCACCGTTTTTGGTTTGTTTTTTGAGAAATTGGAAGCTCTGTTTTTCGCGTCATTTTCCGAACCCGGAACTAAATTACTGTAATTGTCAGGTCCGAGTGGGATCACGCTTTTTGCTTTGGTGCTATGCTTTACTGAAATTACCGCACAAGGTGATGTTCGTAGGTCTGGATTCTACTTACCATGTACTGCTTTGGAAAGGCTGATTTCTGAGGGAAGGAATTCCGTAAAATTGGCTTAACTTTAAATCGATTCTCGTTCTCGCTTTTCGATTGGTTTCTTGGCGGTGCGCTTCATGTATGAATCGTAAGGAACTTTTATTGTAAATTAATTTTTAAATTACACATTGAATATTTTCTTTCGATTTTCTTGTTCTCCATCCGTTTCAATTTTTTTAATTTTTTTAACGTTTGCTTTAAAAAAGGTTTGATTTTTGTCTATTTCACGATGAAATAGATCATATTTTTCGATTACCGACTTTTTTCACAATTCTATCCGTGAAGCGCAACGCGTGAAATTACGCGCATTGGCGGGTTTCCGTTACCTAGAAATTTCTAGTGATTTCTCCAAGTCCTCCCATCCACCACCCTTTCCACATCCTTGTTTGTGTCACTACAAGGCAAAATAACGAGGATGGATAGTAAGGTTAGCCGGCCTCTCGACTAGGATAATACGGCGAGCTGCCCCCATTTCCCGGGCCCACGGCCCAATTTCCCGTTCTCATTTCCCTTCGGTAGGGGTGGCTGTCAGCGGGCATCACATGAATGCCCTTCTGCGGCATCTGGCTGATAGCCATAATATTCCGGGTTCATCCGGGGCTTGTTTTTCAGGGCGGTTGGGTTGTAAAAACTACGGTTGGTCATTTGGGTGGCTTGGGCTTTTGGTACCGGGATGCTGGGTTACGGTAGCTGGTTTCTCTCTATCTCTCTCGCTATTTTGCTCTCTCTCTCGTTCTCTCATCTCGCTCTCTGCCTCTAATTCTTCCTTGCTATATGTCTCTCCTTCCCTCTGTTTATCGTTTTCTAACGCTACCTTTATTCTTTTTTTTTTCGTTTTTTTTTTTTTTTTTTTCTCTCTCCCCCTCTTTTTTTACCTGTCTGTCTCTCTCACCCTCTCTCTCTCCTTCACTTTCTCTCCAACTTTTTCTATCTCTACCTTTATTCTTTGCGCTTTATCTCTCGCGATGTCTAATTCACTCACTATCTCACGTTCTCTCGCGCTCTCTCGTGCCCTCTCTATTACTGTCTCGCTTCGCTCTCTCTCCCTCTCTTTCTGTCACCTCGGACGTGCTTTTTAAAGCTCAACCCCAGTCCCGGAAGTGCTCCCTAAAGCCGCAACTTTCTGCACCGGACAACTGGACATGCAATAAACCCGACGGCCCCACCACCAAATTTGGGCCCTTCAACCCCTTAAGGCCCACTTCAGGGGGGTGGTCGAGGGTCCGTTAGGGTCCTATTTTCGGCTCGTTGGCCCTCTTTTCCACCCGGGACGCTCGACCCGGATTGCCCGAGGAGGACCCAAAGATTTGTGTCCACTTTTCGGGTAACACGGTTTGCAAGGAGACTAGGGATTTGACCGGTTTGGTCCCGATTTTCTAGTCCAGTGGCTTCTATTTTGAGCCCTTAGGGGTTAGGTTTGTTTAGCGTCTGTACGTTGTTTTCGATGACGTTGGTGAGGAGTTTTGGAAAGCCTTTATGCGCGTTTGATACCTTTACTAACGCTGTGACCTAGGCTGATACCGATAAGAACAACCGCTACTTTTGCTTTTCTTTTTTCTTTTCTTTTAATAGGGCTGCTTCTAACAAAACGTTAATGTCCTCTTTTGACCTCAAAGTTATCTTGGAAAACAACAAAATTAAATTCTTGAGATCAATTGGCATAAAAAATGGTTAAAATATACCTTAACAACCCTTTCTAGATCGTATATATCCTTGATTATAATGGCTTGCCCAATATCCATTGAATGCAACTATATGTCCGCCGTTAACATATCCATACGCAGAAGAACAATCTTTTTTTTTTTTGACGGCGCACCGCGCTTAATGGTGAATTTACGAAAGTCAAGTTCAATCCCCCCTCTCCTACGAATCCCTAAAGTTTGCAGTGTTGCGTTCGCGTCTCTTCAAAAACCGAAAATTTCGGGAACAATTCGCCCCGCATTGCATCCGGTAGTGGCGTCAGCAATTACCGCCAACGGGTCCAATTCTCCCAATTTTGGTGGCCATGGCCGTGCAACAATTCTAATCCGGCCAGGCTGCTCGGGTCCAATTTTGGCCCCCCGTAGGCGTTGAGTTGTGCGCGTAATAATGATCTTATGTCGCCAGGAAAGGAGAATAAAGAATATAATATGGGGTTCAGTAGTTTGGGTGAAACTTAGTGAAGTTTAGAGTAGTTGTAACCTGAGATGCATCACTTATAAACCACTTGCTTCAGCGTCATTACGTAGCTTCCGTACTTCGAATACAGTAATCGTAGGCAAGATCTCACTGTAGAAATTTTATTTATTCACTACAATACCATTTTATCCCTTAACTACTGTAAAACACAAAAAGTACAAATTCGATCGGGTTTTGGTGCTACAGGACCCCAACGTACTGTAGAAATTACTTGAATACAGTAATCGAGGCAAGATCTCCTTAGAAATTTTTATTCACTACAATACCATTTTATCCCTTAACTACTGTAAAACATAAAAAGTACAAATTGATCGGGTTTTTGGTGCTGCAGTACCCCAACGTACTGTAGAAATTACTAGCTACAGTAATCTTCAATCACTTAACGCCTTGAATTCAGCTGTTTCAGAAAGTTTATAAATTCTCATTCTCAGAATTTTTTGTGGCGTACCGTACCCCCCAACATCTGCCACCTGCCGTTTCCATTGAACAATGCATGCAGGGCGCAAATTCAATTTTTTTGCTATCGGCACGTCCGATACCGGAGGAGAGGACTTTGGAGCCGCTCGTCTCATTAGCCTATTTCGGGGGGTTGATGCCTTTAGAAGTCCCGCCCGGTGCAGGTCGGTGCCTAGAAAAACGAGCCTCGCTGACCACGGCCGGCTAAATTGGGTGTTTCCCCAAATAGAATGTGTAGATCTTGGCCAGAGGGGGGAAGTGTGGGCCCGATTTGGGGGGATGGGTCACTGATTTCCAGGCGCTAATTTGGGCCCACGGGTCCGGGTAAATCGAAGAAGTTAATCTTTGGTTCTTGTTCGGGGAATGGACTTTGTTCTGAAATAATATTTTCCTACAAAAACACAAAAATCGCCGGCAAAGATTTTTAGTTTCCATGTTTCAAACTGAGAATCAACTTTAAAACTAATATAATGGCTTGGAAAGAACTGAGAAAAATCTAGCTCTATAAATCTGTCTAGCTGGCATAAACATGCAACCAGAATCCGCATTAGCGATTATATTTACTAGTTTCAGTTACTTTGCACTGCTTTTTTTAGGTATCACTGTATTAACCTGGATATCTCTTTTATTTTTTACTGTATTAACTAGGGTACGCTTACAGGGGTCCCAAAAGAAATCCCCCCCCTAGCCGGCCGCAGACGGTCCGATTTTTACAATTTGGGTATCTATCGAGCCTCGAAGGCGAGTCCAGCACGTCTTGCCGATTTTCGAAATGTCGGAATTTTTGCTCGATTTTCGGCATTTTCAAGCCAAAAGTACAGGCTTTTTTGTTAAACGCAATTTAGCCGGTTTAAGCTGTCCAAGTGTGTTTTGGCAACGGCCAAAGCTGTCGTTGGGTTGCCAGAAAGACGTGGGTTCTAAATTGCGATTTTGTAAACGCCCTGGTAGAACAACACCAGAAATCCGTCCGTTTTGCAAAACATTAGTACTGATGGAGAAATTGAAATTATGAAAATCGAAGAGCCGTGCTGGACTCGCCTTCAGGCTTTCGATAGATACCTAAATCGAAAAATCGGACAGTTGCGCTAGGGGGATTTTTTTGGGACACCCTGTATGTATTGCTGTATACACCATGGTATGCTTTTCTAGTAGGTACTGCATACCGAAACGTGTTGACGCGTTACGGTAACGCTACTGGATGCTTTTTCTAGGAATTACCAAGTGAAATACCGAAGCAATTTTTTAGGTATTACGGTATAAACTACCTTAGCAGCAGTTTAGCAGTTCTAGCATCCGTAGAAATTCTCTACGTTTTTATCGCGACCCAGTCATCGCAAAGCTTCGAGGACTACGGTAACAACCTCAAATTCCCCCACTCAACCCCTTCCGCTTCCTGTTTGTCACGTTTCCTCGTAAAATCAAAACACGGGCCCACACTCCCCTCTAGCCGCCCATCCCACGGGGTCTTCGATCCGGCTTCTCCCCCCCACTAACTCACTTGGGCCCCCCAGATACTCTCCCTTATTAACCAAGCCCGAGGATAAGGCCCGAATGTTGCATTAAGTGAAGGAGACGAGGGGTGTCAGTTCCGCCGTCATGCGACCCGGCCCCAGGCTCAAGGCCAAAAATCCGGGGTTGAGGAGGAGTCGGGCTCGCAACATGCTCGCATTGCTCTCGTAAAACGAGCCTCATTCGCCCATTAACATGTTGCGACACGCCAAAAATTGGATTCCCCGTGGGCCGGATGGACGCCTACGTAAAAGGCTGTATTCTGTGAACTCGTTAGCTTTTTGCCTTGTTTTGAAACAGTCCAAGTTTGCGTAATTTTGGAATTTAATTTTTTGTCATGTGTTGCGGCCCCTTAAAATGTCTTTGTTGGGTCGCGAGGCATTTTTAGCAGTTCCAGTTTTTAGCAGAAATTATACTTTTCTAATCTCGAAAATTTTCGGGTTACGGTGCCTAAAATTTCGCATAAACCCCTTTTCGAAAAAATTCCAAGAATTTTTCAAAAAAAGATATTGGGATCACTGTGACGCCCAAAGATCCACCACACAAAAACCTTATCGAATTAGCATTTTTTGAACTGTAAAAGTATGCTATTTTTGCAGTAACTCGACTAATTTTATTCTCTTGGGATTTTCACGTTTCGAATTTAGAAGTTCAGCATCAGATTCTTTGCTGAATTCCGCACTTCCAGGCTTCATTTAAAACTTTTTTGAGCTCTGAAATCTTCCAGGCGTATTCTTGTCCAATCGTTGTATAGAACAACCCTTAAAACCCACGAGGCATCCGGATTTTGGTCTTAATTTTTCGCATGAAAAGCATTTTGTATTTCTCCGGCTAGCAACAAATTCAGAACATCTTGTTTCCTTCCAAGCTACATTCGAGCCAGACAGCCCGTTTCCCAAAAACCAGAATAAACCCGAAAAATCCTTGCCGGGTCGCCGGCTTTTTTCCAACAAAAAAATTCCCCAAGCCACCTAGAAGGCGGTCATTGGAGCAAAAAACGAGGGCTCAACAGCCGCTCTCTTCACCCTGCCGAGGGTCCCACAACGAAATGCCGCCTCCTCTGTAATTCGACGCGGCCAACCCGAAACGTGGGCCCTTCCCCCTCATTCTGGTCTCGCGGAAAGATATGTGACATTTTATTTTGTTCTCGACGTATGGGTCCGGGTGGGTATTGTGACCAAGATCTGTTCAGTGGTCAGAATTTTGGAAATGAATACCGTAATCCTAATTAATCTTTTGGGAGGTTTTTCTGGGGTTGGGCGGGGCGTCACACTCCCTTGAAAGAGGTCTCCGGTCCTATAGTTTTAGCTGGACCGCGATACGTAACGCAGCGACGTGAAACTTGCTTGCTCACAAAAAAATATTTCATTACGCCATGCAAACTTGCGGGCGTTGCGTGTCGCGGCAGAGGGATATCACT